CTGATTCTTTCCTTGATGAAATCCGCCTTCTCCTTGTTCTCTGAAACCTTCGGATTCTGCTCTCATATGGTGGAGAAAGTGCGCTTGAGGGAGCTTCTCACGAAATCTTCCGCGCTTGTTCGCTCTGCTCCTCCGTCCGCGTTTCGATTGACGCCGGAAAGTGGTCGAAAACTCGGATTCACCACTCTGCGTGACTTCCTTCTGGCGACGGAATAAGTTTTGGTTTTTTTCATATTTTTGTTTCAGAAAATTAGGTTTAGAAGGTAATATGGGAATAAGGAAAAAAAGTAATGGCATTCTTGCAAATATTTTTAAAAAATGGTATTTTTGTAAAGTGGCATAGAGCATGAGGCATTTCTTAAAATTTCTCTAAATAATATCACTCTTGATCTCTAAATGTTATGTTGTTTTGTTATAGTTTTTCATATTATAGAATTCGAATAAGACTAGGAAAGAAGATGGGATTTCTTGCCTTACAATTTACTACTTCATTAAAATAACAAAGGAGAAAGTGAGTCCAAAACATCTCAATATGTAAACTAAACGTTTACCAATTGAGCCACTTTAACTTTTACTATTATTTAGTATACGAATTTCTTTGACAGTTAATGTGGGAATTTGGAAGGTAATTTAAGAAGAAAAAAATGGTCTAGTACTGTACAAGTGTAGATGTATGATGTATAGACAGTCTAGGTGGTATAGTACACCACTTCACAAACCTCTATAGGTTACCATTTAGATTGGTTTGAATTGTCACAATGAGACTTGTAGTTGGTGACGGTGTGTGGGAAGAAATGGGTTTGGCGCTTTTGCACTCAAACCTCTTTGTGTCAAGCCGTCTGATGTAATTGCCAGTCACATAAAAACATAGAAAATGTAAATCAACAAACATAAAAGTCATTTAAAAGTCAAAAGCAAAAAATAAAGCTTATTAAAGTGAAAAAGCTTGTCTTCCTTTCACGTATGTTTTTATAAACTGCTTTACTGCTTTTATTGTTTTTGATTATTTTCTTTCCGTATTTTTGGGTATGTTCTCAAATATAGGAAAACGACTGAAAGTGACCCAGTTTTTGGGTAATGTTAGATTGTATTTATTTTATATTCATATGTTAAGTAGAGTTTCCAACAGTTACTCCTTATTTTGCGGTGGAGAAAGACGAATTTTTTAATATTTATCTTGATTTTCCACTAATTTCTATAAGATGAGTGTAACTATGATAGTGTATTTATCAAACTTTTCAATATTTCGATGGAGTAAATGATACAGTGGCATATATTACCGATATAATTTTTTTTTGAATAACTAAGTCTGGATCTAGGTCCGTTATGGTTTTGTCTCGATAGCCATTTGAACTAGCGATCTTTAGGTTTTATCTGAAATTTATACCAGTTAAGCTATTGAACACAATGGAAAACGAATTTACACTTCGTTTCAATCTTTTTTTATCAAACTAGGTCATCATCACTTCTTATAAAAATAGTTTCTTTGAATTCTATTTAGTTAATACTATATTGTGAAGAAAGTAAAAACTTTTAACATATAACAAATTTGCACATATAATTTGGTTCAGCCCTATATAAGTATATAAATAAAGTTTAAATATTGGTTGGTGAATGATCGTTGGGTTCAGAAAATATTTAACCAATTTATAGATCCATTCAATTGAATGTCGAAGTAGAAGGGAACATACTCAATGCTCATCTTTTCCTTCTAGAAAAAATCGAAAAAGTCTTCCAACAAATAATCTACAATCACGGATTAAACAGGCCATTGAAAAGGTAACTAATTTGGTTAATCATCGAGATTAGCAAATTTCGTAATCAATAATAGACTTAAAAGAGTCGCAATCTTAAGACCAACATGCCTCGCACAAAAACTGTAATGAACTCCATGCACCTCAATCAATTCAATACGACGTATGC